GCCATGTGATATTTTTTTTAAAAGACGTACTTACTTTTATATACTTTTGTCCATGTCATTCAAGACTTAGGTCTATTTACATGACTCGTAGGCACAATTAAACCCAAAGTGTTATAGATGCTCGCCAAATTAAAACAAAAATTGATTGGAGTAGATATGGTATGTTTTTATCTATTATTTCTCCACATCACTCAAAACTCAAATCTATTAAATTGACAACTAGTACGAATCTCGTGCGATGCATGGGTAAAAGATATTTTTGAATATTTATAATTTAAAAATGCTCATTAATTTATAAATTAAAAATATGAAATCAATATTTATTACAATTTACCTATATTAATTTATTGAAAATGATATATGAAATTAAATTGTACAAAATTACATAAAACATGTTTATTTAAAATTAGTACACAACTCGTACGAGGCATGTAATTGATTATAAAAATTACATTATATTCATTTCAAAATAAGTGTCATTTTAAAATTTTTATTCAGAAATTCGATTTGACTACAATGTGATTTCATAAAGTGATTATTTTGGTAAAATTTTATCATATATTTAAAAATCTATGTGAATTAATAATAAGTATAATTATAGAATTAATATTTTTTCATTAATTAAAATAAATTTATTTTTGCATAAACTATCAAAATAAAAAAAAATTAAGTAGTTGAGTAATTTATTTAACTATAAATAATTGACAATTTTATTTACGTCCAAGTTAATATTGACCCGTAAGTTATGAATAATTATTTATTTGACTTTTAAATTTGGAACTCAAATTTAGACTACAAAATAATTTTTTTTATATATTTCACATATATATATATATATATTATCTCGCGAATTTCTAAATTTATTGTCGGTTACCATATTGTTCAAATTTATCAACTAATTCTCTAGAATTAATTTCAAAATTTAAATTTTATTAACCACAATTTTTCAATGATATTTCTGATTCTCAAGAGGAATACATACTAATTTGTCGAATTATCATCAATATCTTATGATAAGTTATTATGAGAATATGCTAAAATTTAAGAATCATATCATTTTGATTTTATAACAAATCAACTTAAAATTCAACTTTCATAACCATACCAAATGAAGTTTATACCACTTATTTTGTTTAAATCAAATGGGCGGATTTGGGCAATACTTTCATAAACAAATGCAATATCATGCATCATATATTGTACTGGATTCTTGTTTATACATTACACGTAGGATTTAGATGTGTGTAAAAAAAATTGATATTGTAAGGAAATAAAAGATATTTACGTTATTCGATCATATTTTAATTGAGGACAGACTTTTGTGGCTTTTGTGTTTCGAACAAATTTTATAAATAATATTATGGTTAGTCTCCAAAGGTTAATAATACGCGGCTTTATGAGATTAATTTTAGTAAGATATTTCGGTGTGTTTATTGGTATTATAGTTAGCATACATAAGTTAATAATACCCAGGCTTATGGAATTAAATTTGGTAAATAATTTTGGTTTGTTTGTTGGCAATAAATTCCTCTTTAGCTTTTGGATAATTCCAAAAGATGCTCAAATACGGGAAGAAAATTTGCTCTAGTTACCTTTCGGCTTTTAATTTGGAAGTAAATTTGGGCATATATTTGTAGATCTTATGATAGTAAATTTGAGTAATTAAGGTATCTTAAAAATATATTTTTTATAGCTTTATTATTTTCTTAAATAATGAGTCGCAATTTACACAAGTGATTATTTTAAATATATTATAAATTGTTAAATTAATTTTTTAAAAATAAATAATTTTTTTTTTCTTTTTTTTTGCAAGAAATAGTTACTATTTAAAAAATAATTAAATATTTTTATGTAAATATAGATATAGACAAGGTAAAATTAAATAATGTTATGCAGGTATGGGAAGGGTGGACCCGGGTCAAATTGCCACCTTATGTAGGGTATTATCTCTTCTATATTAGTTAAATTATAAATGTCTAAATAAAAGTAGTAACCAAAAACCAAGCATATATGCGTTAGCAATCACCTATAAAATAAAGCTAAAAATATATGAATTTTGTAGGAGCAATGGGTATACCCTTCTGCATGTAAAATTTCAGAAAATATATATAAATTTAATACATATTAGTACAATACTCGTGTAATACACGGCATACTTGTTAAGAAAATAATTTTTAAAATTAAATAATAATAACATCAACAATTGTTTAAAATTAAATATATGTATTTATTAGGCTAACTAGTGCGTAGCCCGTGCGATGCACAAGAAAATAATATTAAATAATAATACAAATTCAAGATGCAGGTAAATAGCATTAAATAATGATAATAAATTAAATATTTGGGACTAAAATGTGATATAATTTACGTATATCGATTTGTTGTATAATATAAAATTATCATATACAAAAGAACACAAAACATGTATGTTTAAAGTATTAAAAATACCTAAAATAACATATGTAAAGATATCCAAAATTCTACATTGTTCTTAAAAAATGTTAAGTCACCTAAACTTCCACTAAACTATTTTGTAAAGATAGAATGTTTAAAAACACCTAAAGATGTAAAATTTAATGTATAGAATGGGAAAAAAAAATTAAAAAGTATCTAAAATATTATGTGTGTGAGTATTGAATGTGTAAAAAAAATATCTAAAATATTATTTGACTAAATAATAAGTATTAAAATCTAATATCTCACGTTGAACTTTATGAGAGAATATTTACATAATAGATATTATTTATATGTCTTGTATACCAGTTTTATATTGTTACTATCAACATTGTCTATATATAATGTATCGCATGTCAAGTTATTTTGATTATATCTCTTTTATCATATTTTGTACCGATCCATCCATTAATTCTTATTTTTTACCAATTTCACGGAAATATAGTATACGAATTTGTGTATATCTCGCAAATGCTAACGATTTAGTATGAAATACATAATTTGGAGCATTTTGTTAGAAGATATTATACATAAACCTATATAGAAATTTCAGAAATATTTATTTTGTTGAAAAATTTTCAAATGATGAAAAAATATAAAATAAAAATATAATTATTAAAATTAATACGATATAAAATAATAAAATATTAATTTAAAATGGTTGAAAATTAAAATATCAAACGTGTAATAATATTATTTTAATTGTTAGGTTTGTAGTAATATTATTTGATATCCATTCACAAATTTTTCTTCATGAATCTAATTAAACAAAAATGAATAATCATTTATCTTCATTATTCAAATACTAATTAATTAGGTAATTGATTTTAACCTCGTTAATTTTGCTTTTTCTACCGACAAATACTCAAATTATTACGTGTTGCCCTTGTCATATCATATATTATTATAGATTTGTTATTAAGATTAAGATGAATTTTTTTATTTCAATCTTTGAGAATTAAATATCTTCCAAAAAATTTTAAAATACAATTAGGCAAGTTTTTTTGAAATTTGAAATTTGAATATAATAAATTCCATGATTTATGGTAGCATCAAATGCGACCTAATTGTTTTTATTAGAAAAATGAAAAAAAAAACATTCTAAAAATAGAATGTAACTAATATTCCTAGATTTTTTTGCTTACTATTTTTAGTCAAATAGAAATTCTTATTATATAGATTTGAGATTTTCATGAAAATTAATGAGCCGATTGAGAGTTTCCAAAATAAATCAAAGTTATATTCGTCAATCAATACCATTACCAAAGGTTCCAATACAACTTAAGAGTTATATTAGTCTAACTATTATGAAATTACCGTGTTAGTTTTTTAATAATTTTGGAATATCCGAACCTAAAATTATTGATTTTGAATATTATTATTATTATTATTATTATTATTATTATTATTATTATTTTTGTACAATGAGAGGAGGCAAAAGCCTAGGAATAATATTATTTTTTATCCAAACCAAATTACGAAACATGTTTTTTTGCCAAATAAGATTACGAAGCAAGCAAGGCTAACACTTAAGCTCAATACATTCTGCAATTATATATAGGGAGATTAAACTTGATATACTAACTTACCATTTTTTTTCTTAAAAAAGAAATCATCCTAATCATGAGGGACGACCAATAGGCCAAATTATTAAACTGATTACATGCTGGACACGGCTAAAATTCTGCCAACGAGATGGTTTCATGCACAAACGTTGGCTGGAAATTTGTATTGGCAAAGGAATTTCAATTGATCAGCTAAAACCTTTTGACGGGTGGTTTCGACAAAACGAATCCAACAACGGCTTACTCAACTAAAATAAATGTAGAACGAAAATTAAGTTAAAAAATTTTGTGGGTACAAGTCATAAGACCTCCTCAACAAGAAGAATCTAACAATGAGTCACTCGACATAAAACCTGATTCGGAATTAGTCGAGACGAAGAATAGCTCAAATCACTCCAGATGAAAAATTGAATGGGCAAACATGCTCCGATTGAGCTCAATTTTGTAGATACAACCTTCTCAACAACAAGGAATTCAATATTGGGTCTATTGACTGATACAATTATCAGATGGTGCTAGGATTAGAATGCAAAAAAAAACATTGAGTTTTATTTTATCCCACATGACCATTGTACTTTTTTCTTTACTTTATGAAGAAAAAAAAAAAAGTGTACTAAGTTTGGCAGCACTAAATTAGTGCACCTTTTCTAAATGATGCTAGTAAGGAAGGAACACGAAATAAAATTCAGCTATATTAAATTTCCTTTACTCAATGATGTGAAATAGTCATAAAATGAAAAAAAAAAATAAAAAATGACGTGAAGTAGTCATTAAACAATGTAGGAATTTCTTGTATACATGTGTGTGTGCATGTGTTTTCCTCAATTTGGTGATCATAAAAACTCAAATCCAATAAAAATTCTCACCAAGTAGAATGAACATATGCTCTCAAATAGATAGCAAGCTTAATAATGATAATCGTCACTTCAATTCTATGCAAATGAAACCAATTGAAAAGGAAAATAGAAAGATAAAAAAAAAATGAAAACAAAAAAACCAATAGTACCTTTTTTCCCCTATTTTCCTGCCAACAAAAACACCTCACCAATTCCTCCATTCACCCCTCGCACGTGCCGAAACCCCACAGAACACGTGACCTTCCACCATCGTGTTTCCTCGGTGGAAATCACAGTCATCATCATCATCACCATCACCATCAGGGCCTCCATGCACTCGCCCACACCACCGGCTGATCCTTCCACGAAAGGAATATTCCGGCGGAATTGGAGCAGTGCCCCATCGCCCAACCCTCCCTATACCTCCTCAGCAGCGCCCGCACGTCGTCACACACCTCCTCGTTGAACGGGAACGGCCCGAATCCTCCTCCATGCAACCGCCGCGACCACCTCCCCGACGTCTCCCGCCGCTCAATCGAAACCTCCGGCGGGCACGCCACCAGGTCCATCACCGCCCTCCCCGCCGCCCTCTCCAGCATCAGCCGCTCGTTGCTCGTCCGCGGGAATGCCTCATCCAGCGCCTCAAGGTAAACCCTAAACCACCGCAAGCATTCCTGAAATCCCCTTAAAAACTCGATCCCCTCCGCGCCGACGTCCAAATCGGCCTCCTCCTCGACAATCGTGAGAACCCTAGGCCGCAGGCTCCGGAAAATCGAGATCAGAACGTCCCTCCGATTGCCGATCGCCGCGACGGAGTGGAGTGTCCCGACGCAATTGACGGCGAGGGCCTCATCCTCCTTGATGTCCAGATCGGCCAGATTCAGATCCGATAGATCCCCTGCGTGGTGGATGACATTGAATCGGAAAGGAACCCCCATGAGTCGGGCGAATTTCTCCATCCTTGTCCCGATCTCCTTCATCACCTTCTGCACGGCGGCGCCGGATCTCCTCGCCACCACGGTGGTGATCCTCAGGTGCGGAGTCTCGTCCGTGCGGGTGGCGATGGCCTCGAGCAGCGTCGGCCACTGCGTGCAGAAGGTGTTGCTGATGTCAATAATGTGGAGTTTGGCCTCGCCTTCCAAGGCCTCCATGATGGCGCCGTTGCAGGCCACGTGGCCGAACGTGGTCCACGGGCTCACCTCCTGGAACTTGAGCACCGTCCGCCGAGTCGACTCGAAGGAACACATCTTCTCGGAGGCGGAAGCCAGGGACTGGTAAGTCCGCTGGCCGGAGTCCGTCATTCGGCTGAAGAGCGCCTGGAAGAAGTAGGAGGCGAGCTTCTGCTCGGTGTCCCCGTAGGGCGAGCTGAGCTCGTTGAGCATCCACATCAGCTGCTGCAGCCTAGAGGTGTCTCGGTCGGCCACGGCCCTGGCGGCCTCAAGGAGGATGTCGTGGGCCCACCGGCCGCCCTGCGCGGAGAGGGAAGCGGCGAACTCGAGGGTGACGTCGGCCGTGGGGTGGTGGGAGGGGGTGGCGGCGCCGCCGCCGCCGGCGCTGCCGCTGT